CGCCGCTTTACCGGTCCCCGGCTCGCCCGCAGCGCTTTCCGGCGTCAGCCGCCAGGTGCGGAAAGGCCTCCTGGGTCCCGTTGAAGTCCAAGGAAGCGGTCGCTGATGCCGGGTCTTCGTTTTCCGAGAACTGGACGCGGCGCTTTATTGTAGGCTGCCGCCTGGGCTAACCCTACCCTTCTACGCCTTGCAAGTTGGAGTAGCCACGTAATTCACCTTCAGGACTCGGTCCTTAAAATGAAGAAGGGTCTTTCTCAGAGCCTGGAAAGCGCCCTGCAGCCTTTGCTCTTGCGCTGGTTGGGATGAGGGGCGGCTTCGGCGTGGTTGCTGCTCTTCCGGTTGCTGCCGAGCTCCAGGCTCTGCTTATCAGCGCTGTTGCGCCTGAGCGCTGCAGCTGAGCGCCCAAGCCCGGCTCCGGGCAAGAATCACACCGCCGCGGGCCGCTTATCGGAGCTTGTGGTCCTGGCAGTGGACGGACAGCCCTCTTGCTTGCCTGTGGCGGTTGTAGTGGCCCAGGCGTCGCCTCCCGCTTCCTCGCCTGCTTGCTGCCTTCTCCTTATCGCCTGTTGTAAGCTGAGGGTGGGCAGTGGTGGCGAGGCTGCCTGTGGACTCGGGCATGTCCCTGTGGCTCAGTTAGCCAGGCAGCAGGGATGCCAGCCTGGATGCTTGTGGGTGTGCTGTTCCTCAGTAAACTCTGTGGGGAGTGAATGAGCCCATCTAATCCCGGGTTTCTGAGCTTGGGAGCGCCTGTGGCCCTTTGGGGGAAGGGATGAGCTGGGCCTAGCCTAGCCGTGGGGAAGGGGGGGTGGGAAGCGTTTCTGCCTGGCTGCAGCTGCTGTTCCCAAGTGCTGATAGCAACCTGGAGGGTTTAAGAAGAGGCTGGCCAGCGGCCTCTGTAAAGATGATCTGTTTGGGGTTGCTGCATGTTACAGAGGGTTGGACTAGATGACCTTGGTGGTGGGTGTTCCAGCACTGGAGATTTTCAAGAAAAGGTTGGACAGCCATTTGCCTGGGTCCCTCCAATCTTACGATGCTATTATTGTTAGGCAGCTGGAGATCGCTCTATGTAGAGAAAAGGATCATTCTTGTCCTTTGCTGATCCTTGCTAGGGACTGAATTTCCTCATCCCAGTCCTAGACCGTATACGCTATGTACAAAGCCTGAAGGAAATTGTCATCAACGTGCCGGAGCAGTCGGCTGTTACTCATGGTGAGCTGGCCTGGCTGGGTTAGGGTTGGAGCTGGGGACCTGAAGCCCAGAGGGATGGTGGGCCTTGTGCATTCAGAGATGAGCCCAACTGAGTTGAGGCAGCCCTGTTAATGCTAAGGAGCACCCTGATTTTATTGGGGGGCTTGCACCATTAGTTTCTTCAGGGAAGGGCTGCACTGCTATCAGTCATGTGCCAGCACAGTGTTGGCTTAGAGGAGGCGGTCTGGTTTCGTGGTCCCAGTCGGAGCTCAAAGTCTAAGGTTCTCAAGGACGATGCAAAACATTGTGGTGATAATAAATCAATTGATAGGGCTGCCTAATGGAAGCTATTCAAGGCAGCACACAATCAGTTAAAAGCCTCATTAAAAAATGACAAATGACTTTGTAGCAGAAGGATGGTGGTAGTGAGAGGGTGACTGATGGTGCCAAGAGATGTGCTGGGACGGAAAGCAATCAGGCCCATCCTCTTAGATGGCAGTTGGCCTCCACTTAGCCTGGGTCCTTAACCCAATTCCTTTCCCGTGTGGATTTTCTTGTTTGGGGGGCTTTTGCTCTTTGTTTTGACTGAAAAAGCAAGGCCTTGCATTAGCAGTCCAAGCGCTGGACTGGTTTCCTGGCATCTGGGCCTTCCCTGAAGTTCTGTTACAGGTGATAGAAGTTCCCTTTAGTCCTGCTGTAAGAGTTCCTGTGTCCTTGCAGATAACGTGACCCTCCAGATCGATGGGGTTCTCTACTTGCGCATCATGGATGCTTACAAGGTACCAGAAGGAAACTCGGAACAGGATTGGAACTTCTCACGTCGGAGGCTGTGAGCCTCTCCCCCAGCTCTCAGAGCTGTTTTTCCTTGGTGGTTTTAATCTGCAAGGATATTGGAGGCCTGGCAGATGAAAGTACAAGAATCTCTTTCGGGGGACCTTTTCTGAGGCATCGGGCTGGGAAAGGCCGAGGCATGGACCGGGAGAATTTCACTTGGTGCTCCTTGATTGCTTCCGTCAGATGTCCCGCTTCCTCCTCTAGGCCAGCTACGGGGTGGAGGATCCCGAGTATGCTGTCACCCAGCTTGCCCAGACCACCATGCGATCCGAGCTTGGCAAGCTCTCCCTGGATAAGGTCTTCCGGGTAAGTGACGGAAGACGTGGGAGCCTTTTGGACGGGAGGGAGCCCTGCTATGCGCTGGCTGTTTCACAGGAGGGTCCTAAGACGAGGGAAGAGCAGGGGCTGCTTGCCTGGCTGAACCCTCCAGGAGAGCCTCCCCAGGGGCTTTACAGAGGTCACCTAGGAGACCGTTCAGCTGAAGAGAACCACGTGGCCTTTTCCTCAGACAAAAATCCAGATGGAGCAGAAGCCAAAGGGCAGCCCAGCAAGTTCTGGAGAGAGTGGAGGCTCAGGAGGGACCGGGACGTGACTGCAGAATCCACCCCTTGGGCGCTAAATGGGCCCAATGCAGTGCTGGGTGCCTCTGTTCCGCTAGAGGACTGGCGGGCCTGCGTTGAGCAGGGCTGGGCCAGGGGGACGCGTGAGCCGATGAGGGGGAGGATGGCGCTGGTTCCAGGGCTGCCTTTCTGCTCTGCCCTTGCTGACCCAAAGCTTTCCCCATCCAGGAGCGTGAATCCCTCAACGCCAGCATAGTGGATGCCATCAACCAGGCCTCGGATTACTGGGGCATCCGGTGCCTGCGCTACGAGATCAAGGACATCCACGTGCCACCCCGAGTGAAAGAGTCCATGCAGATGCAGGTCAGGGTGGCGTTCTTGGGCAAAGGAGGCATTTCCAGGTGGCACCATTCTTGCGAGTTCGTGGGCCATGGGAGCTGCCTGGTGCTTCTGCTTCCTTAATTCTGGTCCATCGCCTTTCACCAGTGCCTGGCTGTTGCTGAAAGGAGGATGATGCAGGTCCACTGTGCAGAAAGGAGCTTCTCTCCTGTTGTTACTTTCCTGGCCTAGCCTGGCCCTGACTTGCACAGCGTTTGGGGGTCAGGATTTGTAGAGGGGGCTCGGATGAGCAACGCCTCCCTGCGTCCCAGGGCAGCAGCTGAACACCTCCAGTCCTCCTGACCTCTGGGGTCCTTGTGGAACCAGACAGGTCCTTCTGTCAAGAGGCAAGAAGATCCCCACCAAGTGGACCTTTTGCTTTTAGGTGGAGGCTGAGAGACGCAAAAGGGCCACTGTCTTGGAGTCTGAAGGGACCCGAGAATCGGCCATCAACGTGGCTGAGGGGAAGAAGCAGGCCCAGATTCTGGCTTCAGAGGCTGAGAAAGCAGAGCGCATCAACCAAGCTTCTGGTACGGAGAGCAGAGCAACTTCTCTTCCAAAAGCCATTGTAGTGGGGAGTCGGCCGAAAGCACCAGCTGTTTTCCTCTGCGTGCGCAGTGCCTGTCTCTGGCTTGGAGGGGTCAGAAGCACTGAGGAAATGGGAGCCCAGAAGGAGACATCACTGGAAGTTCCAGCCTGCTTTGAGGGAGGCCTGGCAGTTCAGTCTCAAATAGGAAAGCTGAAGGCTCTCTCCAAGCAGCCTGGACAAAGGGTGCTCCGCTTGGTCCATGGAATGTCCTCCTTTCTCTTCTCTGGACTCACGGTTGTTTGGGGAGGAAAAGAGGTGTGGTTTATCCCCCCCACCCCCATGCATGAAAGAAGCTTCAGGCCAAAGGCCCCCTAAGCGAGGCCTCTGGGAGCGAAGGGGCTTTGCCTGGGGAGCAGAGCTGGCCTTCCCTGGGCCGTCCCTGGAACAGCTGAGGCTCCCTTTGGTCTGTTTCCCTTTCCAGGGGAGGCCAGTGCCATCCTGGTGAAGGCCCAAGCCAAAGCAGAGGCCATCCGACTTCTGGGCACCGCTCTGGCCCACCAGGTGACAACAGGGAAGAGGGAGGAGAAGGCCGGCCGAGTCAGGAGCTGCCCGTTTGCAGTGGCCGGGGGGATACCAAGTGACCCCTTGGTTGGGGCTGGGCCACTTGCTTGGGGCAAATTTGGGTTCGTGGGAAGCA